GAGAGGAAAAAAAGAGATGAGAGGAAGAAAAGAGAGGAAAAAAAAGAGATGAGAGGAAGAAAGGAGAGGAAAAAAAGAGATGAGAGGGAGAAAGGAGAGGAAAAAAAGAGATGAGAGGAAGAAAGGAGATGAGAGGAAGAAAAGAGATGAGAGAGAGGGAGGGGAAAGGGAGGGAGGGAGGGATTAAGGAAGGAGTTCCCTTTATATCCTTTTTTTTCCAAATCCCCACCCCCACCCCTCACCCAAATTAAAGCCCAGGGAATAAATGTAGTTCATGGGTTTCCACCCGAACCTCCGAAGGACCAGGAAGGGGGGAGGGCTCACGTACGTCTCGTAGAGGCTTTGTCCTCTCAGGAACACTTTGACTTCCTTGTTGAGCGGGAAGGTCCCATCATCCTTGCGGAAGCGATAGAGGAGCTTAGCGTCCTTGTAGTCCGAGTGTTCGTCACAGACTGAAAAGCGTTTAAGACCATTCTTAGCCCCCTCCCGAGCTTTGAGGCCCAGGTCGGACCATTCACACACACCCCCGCCCCCCACCTCCAAAAGCAGGCTGGGCTCCAACAGAGACAAAAATGCAAAAGTACATTTGGTAGGATTACAGGGAGTCCTTGACTTATAAGTTTGTTTAGTGACTGTTCGAAGTTACAACGGCACTGAAAAAAGTGACTTATGACCGTTTTTCATACTTACGACCGTCGCAGCATCCCCATGGTCATGTGATCAAAATTCAGACCCTTGGCAACTGGTTCGTATTTATGACGGTCGTAGTGTCCCGGGGTCACATGATCCCCTTTTGTGACCTTCTGAAAAGCAAAGTCAATGGGGAGGCCGGATTCACTTAACAAACAGGTTACTCACTTAACAAATGCAATGCCTTAATCAACAACTCTGGCAGGAAAAGTCATGAAATGGGCCAAACTCACTTAACAAATGTCTCACTTAGCAACATAAATTTTGGACTTAGTTGTAGTCACAAGTTGAGTACTACCAGTGTGTGTGTGTGTGTGTGTGTATCTAAATTTAGATAGATAGATGATTGAGATAAATAGATGATAAATAATAGATAGATGATAGATAAATGATAGATAGATGATTGAGATAAATAGATGATAAATGATAGATGATAGATTTAGATGATAGATAGATAGATAGATAGATAGATAGATAGATAGATAGATAGATAGATAGATAGATGATAGACAGACAGATATATAGATAGATGAGAGAGAGAGAGAGAGAGATGACAGACAGATTGAGATAAATAGATGATAGATGGATCATAGAAAGATAGAGATAAAGGATTAAGATAGATAGATGATAGTTAGATAGATAGATGATAGATAGATAGATAGATAGATAGATAGATAGATAGATAGATAGATAGAT